AAAGCACCCCTTAAAAGAATAATTCCAGTAATGAAATCTGTCACTTTCGTTTTCACAAGCAAATCCTGACTACATTTAAATAAATTTTTGAAAAATTAGCCTGCAAGAGCATGGAGAGCCATTTCTGTGATGAGCAAGAAGCTACAGAATTCACCATCTGGAACTGCACTAACTAGTCTATGTTATTTGCCTTGATATGATTTAGTAAGATTGATTGTGAAATCCCATGCTGTCTATTCGAATTCTCTCTGCAACTGTTTCACTTTGTTTCTTTTTTGTTTTTCCACTGTATTTCCACTATGAATTTAGCTCTCAACATCAGCTGTTCTGAAACTTTTAAAGAGCATGACTACATAAAATCACATTGCCCATTCAATGAACTATGAACTTCAGAGAATGGTATATAGCATATCTATCATAGAAGCATAATAGTATTACAATATTTTAAATGGAATTTTGACTTGTTACCTCTCATATTGCATCTATTTTGAATAAATATGTTCTTTTTTTTTCAGATCAAAATATTCTCAATGAAAGAGAATGCTTTTGGAGCAGAAGCCCTTCGAAATTGGTTCGATCAAGTTTGAGTTTGAATGGAGTCAATTTGCTTTAAATCTAACTCAAATTAAGATTTTGTTTTCTAAAGCAGTTTTTCACTACAAATGTTCCTTCTTTAATTAAAAACTTTTATACTAGAAAACTGCTTTAGAAAGTAATAAGAAAGCTATCACAAATAAAGCCTAAATTTGAATCTTGATCTCGGTCAAGAATGTGTAACCAACTCAAAGAAATTACAAAATGATTTGCATTGCATAGCTTTTTAAAGTATTGTTATAAAAAATAACATTTTGAGGCATATTTGCAGAGGGATTAAAAAGCCAACTCCACTAATTTGTCCAAGAAAAAAATTTCAAATTATTAAAAGGATGAGATGCCAGATGTATTACTTGACACCCATCTTAGGTGATCTTAAAATTTGATTGTAAAATCTGAATTAAATAGCAAAATATTTTCCTTGCATAGCTACAATAATTGTGTAAAATGATTTATTTATCTAAATTAAACTAAATTGTGTTAGTTTAAGTAGTTTGTTTGGTGAATATTATATAGAAGGCAGAATTTTGTAATCAATACTTTTTTGCTCAAATTTTTCTAAGAAATTATAAAAATAAGTAAAAATTTTGTATTTGTTAATTGAGTAATACTTAGGGGCTTTGGTTGGATTCATTATGATTAATGCTACATTTTAAAAAAATCACTTAATCAGCATGATTTTTTTAGATAATATTTAAATTGAAATTTTAAAGAATTAAATTCAGATTATCATAATTGAACTAAATGCCTCGAGATGAATTCTTCGGCGTCACAAACAAATGATATGACCTGGATAGAAATGAATCTAAATCAAAAGCTTGAAGGATATTTCGAAATTTATGAATATTAATTGAAGGACCATACGTTCACCTAATATTGTGTGATTGTAGTCAAATTGAGTGGTTCGACAAGATGAATTCAATGAGTTGAAGATTATTTGATCATGATATCATTAAGACACTCAAATACAAGATAAATAATTTATGATCAAGAGGAGGATCAATATAGGTCGTTTGATTGAGTATTTTAAATTTTGGTCAAATTTATCAAAGTTGGTATAGTATCAAGAGCACTAGGAGCACAGGATGATATAAAATGTTCAACTTTTGAAGCTTAAATTTTAAATGATACGAAGGTATTAATATGTTAAAAATAAGATATTATAATTAATTATACTATTTTCAAAATGAGGGCTAGCAATGGAGGTTAGAGGAAGTTATTCCATGTGGTGATTATTCTATAGGGAGGTGGTTATATGTATTTGCATATGAGGCCGACCATCATAATTCCTCCCTCATCAATTTGAAATGAGGGACTTGAAAACACTCATAAATGCTTTTATTTGATGCGGAATGAAGTGCTTAGACATTTTTTTTATTGAAGTTGTAGTGAATTTCAAGTGGAGGCTTAGCTTGGTGAGTGGCCATTGGAGAGGGGTAAAATCCCCACTTAGACACCCCCCCCCCCCCCCCCCCCCCCCCCACATAGTGGTGGTATAAACCTTGACTAAAATCTAATCTAGTGTTATTTCAATTGAATTTGTTGACCTTAAACTCTCATAAATTTTTTGAAAAACTACATAACATATCTTAAGACATTCCACTATCATTATCCAGTCATTTCCCTTAATTTTATCTGTCAAAAACCCTATCACTATAAAATTAACTAATTTAGTCAAATCTACGATACTCTTTGGACCCTGTCACTTGTGAAATCTTTAAAATATATATGAACTTCTCCAAAAATTATGAAACTTACGTATAAAAACTAGCTCTTCCTCTCTAACTTTTTCAGGTGAATTGAAAGTTTTATATCAATATTTTTTGAAATATAACCCATTGTCAAGAGTTGTCTAAAATTTCTAACCCAAATCCTAAGTCGACCTTCTAAATTAAAATATACCCCCAAATTACCTCCACCGATATATTTTCAACCTATAAAAGACTCGTTGAGGATAACAATCCGATTTATCCCTTACTAAGTGGCCTCTCTAATAGGCCACACCACCAGCAACAAAAGCACTCATTTTAAAAAGTTATAAATAGGATATCATTTTCTATATGAGGGGAGGGGGATCAAGAGTTAAAAGAGAGCTAAAGAACTCCATGGTATTTCCAAACCATCAATTATATGAATCATGAATGTATGTATGTCATATCTATCTATAGTGTTATTGTACGAATGTTTTATCAATATTTTCAATCTATAAAATCTCTATATGAACATATATTAGTTTGCTATGAAATGAATTAGTTGTTCATTATTCTACTTCTCTTAAATAGTTCTTTAATTTTAATTTTAAGAACGCGATCATATATCCATATCTATATGTTACTAATGCGTGCATCAAGCAGCATATGATTTGACAAGACATGACCTATATTTTTATGTAGTATTTTTAATATCTTTAACCCTCAATATCATTCAGTTAGTCATCAATCTTTAATTTTTCATCATCTTTCATAAATCTTAATCAGCTATGTGTGATTGAGGGGAGTATAAAGTACAATTAAAATTGTATGGTCATAGACATCGTATGATTAAGTTCAAAAGAAAACCTAATTAATAGGATATAAATAGATCGAGTTAAGTTAAATTATTAAAAATAAATAAATTAAAAAAAAAGTTATGTTAAATTATGATATCAATTAAATTAATTAAATGCATGCTAATGATGCAAATAACATAGACCATAATAGTCTCCAAAAGTGGTTCAATGTAGGTGTTGTTGTATTAGTACCACAGTAACCTAGAAGGAACTTAAAGGTATACTCCCTTATTGATTGACTCTCCAATAGTGATAAACTAATCAAAGTGCATCAAACACATAAAAGTATTAATAATACATAACTATAGCTAGTCATATGTTAGTATGATCAAATAAAAATTGCTAGCTTCCCATATTTTCAAATAAAATCAAGTTGCATTCCAAATCAACAGAGAATATTTTGATAATTTTTATAAGTATCAATTGTTGCATGAAAAATTATAAAAATTATCAAATTATTTGAAAAATTCCCAAACTAGTTGAAAATGCAAAGTGATTGATTGAAATTGATTGATTGTGATATTTTTCTTTTTTTTTTAATTAGCATTCTTATAATAAAAAATACATATCATATAATCCACTTGTCTAATGCTTATGAAACTTGGGCCACATATCATGCTGTTAAATGAATTTTTAGAAGTATTATTAGGCTTTTTAAAATTATTTAATCTTTTCTATAATTATTATTAAAACTATAATAATTAGAAAAAATATTAAATAAATTGACAAAATTCAAATAATTTAGAATATGCTCAAACATGCTTACAATGATGCTAGAAATTGAAAACATGTATTGGTTGAGTCAAAAATACATGTGATTTTATTTTCCTTCAATTAACCTTTTTTTAATTCTGATTAATAATTAATTTAAAAAATTCCTTCAATTAACATATTTTCCAAAAATTAGAAAATTAGGGTTTTCAAATTAGAAAATTTAATTTTTGTAGTAATGATTGTGAAAAACTCATAAACCATATTCAATTTGGATTTAAGGTAAAACTATAAAAGAGATATAAAGTATTTGAAATGCATAAATTTTAAAAAATATTGATGTTTGGTCTGAAGTAAAAGAAATATATAGTCTAATTTTAAAGTATTTGGAATTCAACCTCTAGTTCAGTTTTGGTGTAGTTAGGAATCATTAGATTTTGTAAATTTTCAAATATGCTATAAATTCTCTATCATTTACATTGTGAATTGCCACCAATCATCACCACCTCCCGCTGCCAGCCACTGCTTCTCACTCGCCTTTGATAGGCAACAGTCGCCATTGCCATTACCTAGCACCGCCTAACCTTCGATCATCATGTTAAATTTATAGGATTTATATTGCATTCATTTAGTTCAAGTGAAATAAAAAAATAATCATTTGTATTTATTTTACACTCATCCAAATAAGTTTAAAATTTTTAAATACACTAAATTCATTTAAATTTTATTTCATCTTACTTTAATTTTTTTTTTCATCCAATCAAATAGCCCTTAATAATTCTCAAGTCTATCATCATATAATTTATATCCGGCTGTTCTAACATAAATTTTATTTAATAATTAATAAAAATAAAAACAATTAAATATATTCTAAAAATAATAAATCTTTAAAAAGTTGGTATCAAATAATTAGAAAATCGCAATCCATCTACAAGACATAGTAATTAAAATTCAAGCAGATCACTAGGCTTCCTTGGATCTCACAAGCCCTTTCCTGGCATCATACGCCGCCCCAGTCATGATCCTTCGCCACCATCATAGCCAAATGTGCAGGGACTTTTTGGTCAAATTTTTTTAAAAAAAAAAAACTTTTTTTGTCCACATAATCTGTCTTTTAATTGTGGCTACGAGATTACCAGGCCAACAACAGTTGCAGCAACCGGGAAACTGCAACCATTAATATCTGCATAACAATTCCACTTCCTTCTCTCCATCGCTCTGTTCTGTGACTATTACATCTTTTGCAACTAATCCAGGTGGACCGTAAGTATGGAAGGTAAGGGAAAAGAATAAGAGAAAGAAAGATGGAAGCTTGGGAAAGTATATCCGTGTATGTATGAGGGGGAAGAAAAAAGGTGGGAGCTTCGGAAAGGGAAGGTCAGAGATAGAAAGTTAGATGTGGGGGGTTGCCAGAAATACCCCTCAACAGACCCCCAATGACTTCATCGTCAAGGAGGTTGTGGGAAAAAACCATCTTTCTTCTTCCATCCAAGGAAGGAAGGGCTGCTCACCAATTCCCGATTTTTATGGGGCTCCTTGGGGTTTTGTCCCGGTCAGATCCTACACAGGGGGGAGAGATAGAGAGAGAGAGAGAAAAAACAGGGGAAAGAACCGACGCTTTCTCTCTCAACCCCTATTTCCTTGATATTCTCTTCTTACCATTCCTTCGCTCTCTCTCCTCCATCTGTTATTGTCTATATCTTTATGACATCCTTGCTAGTCGGTCCTTTAAGCCAACTGGTTCTGTCCTCATCTTCATTTCGAGCCGTGTCTGTTCCTCCATTTCGTCTTTCTTTGGTTCTCTTTTGAATCTAGGAAAATGATGAAGAAGAAGATTAGGGTTTCCAAGGATCCATCGTCGTCGTCGACTCCTTATTTCCCTGATGGAGACGAGGCAAGGGCGAGATTCAAGTACAACTCTCTCTTCCAGGACTTTCAGGAGTTGCTACAGGTTAGATCTTGTTCTTAGAGATAAGCTTTTTTTTGTGTGTGAACTCATTGTTTCTGTTTCCGATGGATTGATCTAATTTCTGTGTTTTATTGATCCCGGATTTCATATCTTTGTTGGTTTTCCTTCGGCCATGTTGATTTTAGAAGAATATGGCTTGTTTACTCTTGTTCTGATTTTGATTTTATTCTCTGCCTGAAAGATTATCTTTTGCTTGATCTGATGTTTTAAATGAGAGATTTTGTCTAGGTTTTCATTCTTCTTAGGCTTTTAAATTTGCAGATTGGGAAATGTATAATTAACTTCAAAATTTTACATTTCTTTTATTTTTTGATCTTATTTCTCCTTCGTAGTTGCTGACAGAAACTACATGTGACCCATATGTGATTTATTTTGAATAAGCGCACTCTCTTATTTCTTAGGAAACTAAAGAAAAAAGGGATAGATTGGAGAAGATAGTGCAGAAGAAACTCCAGCTCTTGGCTGAAGTAAAGTAAGTCTCTTGTTCTATTTTTCATTGCTGTTTGGTTTCACCTTCTATATTAACCAAATCCTTAGCAAATATTTCAGTCTCTGAATTGTATTATGTACCATTCGTGTTCCAGATTCTTAAAGCGAAAATTCCAACAGTTCTCAACAACTCAGACTGTCCAATTCAAATTGAAGAAGCAGATTCACAGATTGCCTTCCCCTTCTGGTTGTGTAGCTCAGCCCAAGAATCCAGTGTTTCAGACTGAACTTCCATTGAAGAGGAGGAGCCAGAAACCAAAACAATCTCCGGCTCCAACTTCTACTGCAATGTTAGATTTGAACCAGGTTTTTTTGCCGGTAAATCATTCAATTCCATTGTTAAATAAAACTATATGCAAGACAGTCAAAGTTATTATGTTATAATTGCTTTTCCTTGATGTTGTTATCCAGATCAGTGAAGAAATGGAAGGATTCGAGGTGGAACCAAAGCCTCTGAATGTGGACTGGTTTAAGAGGTTTTCAAGGGAAGGAGGAAATGAGTTATTTAATGATTCCATGCTCTCAATTTGCCAAGATTCCGGGATTGGTTCGAAGAAACCGGCTGAAAGGAAAGTTTCATGGCAAGATCAGCTGGCGATCGATTCGAAGAAAAACACTGAAAGGAAAGTTTCATGGCAAGATCAGCAGGCGATTGGTTTGAAGAAAAATGCTAAAAGGAAAGTTTCATGGCAAGATCAGCCGGCGATTGGTTCGAAGAAAAATGCTAAAAGGAAAGTTTCATGGCAAGATCAGCTGGCATTGAGGATGTAAGGGCCATTGCAGGTTTAATTGGTGAGAAAGATCTATATCTTTTCCCTAACATCTACTCACAGAAGTTTGTCATAATTGGAAAATATGTTTCCTTTGTTGAGAGAAAGGAACTTATTTTCTCTTTTTCTGTTTTTGTTTCATTATACATGTAATTTGATATAAATTATGAAACTTGGTTGTAGTTTTTGGCTGAAGTATTAGCCTTTCTTGCACTTGTTCTAAATATTTGTTGCATCAGTACAACCTGATGCTGTTTTTAGTTCAAATTAAGGTTTCGTTTGGGACGGCTTTCTTACTGCTTCTTCTTAAAGCAGCTTTTTAATACAACATTTTAATTTTTATACTAGAAAACTGTTTTAAGAAACAGTAAGAAAGCCGTCCCAAACGAAGTCTAAGCTTGTTCAGGCACTGTCGTATCATGATATTGAGAGAAAATTCAACCAGGAAAAAGTTTTACAAGAAAATGGCTGTTTCAGGTTAAGCTGGAAGATCTAGGGAAGAAAAGTACCATATTTGTTTGTTCTTAATGACTGCTAATTTGAGTAATTTCTGTTAAATGAATGGGAATTTGAAGGGGGAAGAAGCACCTCTAATACAGATTAATTAAACTAACATGGAATCATTAGCATGAAAAATGAATTTTTTATCAATTATAAATAAGATTAACATCTCATAGAAACACTATGCAAAAATGAAGGTAAAAGTAAAAAAATATAAGATTCATATGGATACTAAGGCTTCGCTTGGAATAGTTTTTGCTGCTTTTTAAAACAAGTTTATAGTACAAAAATTTTTTGAACTTGAAATTTTTGTACTATAAAGTTATTTTAAAAAGTAAAAAAAAAAATTATTTCAAATGAAGTCTAAATAATTATAATAGAAGATAAAAATGTTATTAATGATGATGACTAATGTATATATCCATGTTCTTATTTCATACTGCTCTCTTCTTTGAATCTGCTGAAAATCTATAGCTATGTAATAAAGTAGATGAATTTTGTGCATCAGTTTCCTGTTCTTGTTGGTTATCTTTTGCTTGAAAGGTGGTTCCTAATTCCTATCTATTTTGATGAGACTGTGAAGCAATTTCTGCATGGGCTGCTGGCTGCAGCTGCAATGCTTGTATAATCATTCAATTAAAATTTATCATTTTTTTTTTGTTATACATTAAGCATAATCTCTTCAGACCTTTTATTCAATTAAAATCTTTTTGTGGTCTCCTAGTCCCCTCTTTGTCCTTATTCTTCTCTATATTGTAGATAAGGCTTAAAGCATTTTCTTCTTATGGTAGGCATTTACATAAAATCAACTCCCATCTCTAATTTTGGGGAAGGGTGATAAGTTATACTTGAAGGTTAAATGAATGGAAATGATCTAATTAGGCAAGGTCTAATGTTCTTTGTTATTAATAGGTTTCCTATATAAAGATTTAGTATTGTATTTTCCTTACATTATTCTGATTATATAGGGCTATTTGTCTAAGCTAAGATGCAATCTCTCTCTCTCTCTCTCTCTCTCTCTCTCTCTCTCTCTCATTATCATGTACATAATAAGTTATAATCATAAAAGAAAAAAATGCATACTAGAGTGTTTCATTTTAACATGAAATTATTCTGTGCGAAGTCCGGATTAGAAGAGCCGTCTGGATTGATGCACATTTATTGAGTATTTGTTAACTAAATACGCAACAAACTAGCAAATACTGAGTATTTACGAATATGCAGCGAATCCGAACGATTCTCCCCGTTCGGACTTGGCACGTAATAACTCTTCATTTTTTAACTCATGCAAATTGAGCAATCGATACAACCATGCATGAGCCAATGACATCTCAACCAAGCTTTTCCTCTACCTCCTTTTGGCAGGAAATTGGATTAGTTGGGTTGGGTTTTGTGCGGTGGTCCAACACTTAACTTTTTTATTGGACCAACCTACACATTGCCAATCCCTATAGCAATCATATTTGTATTGAACAAAAATTCACTTCCCATAAATCTGTAATAATAAATAATCATAACAAATAAAAAAAACAATATAAAATGAAATGAAATCTAACAAATCATTAGCCCAATAACTAAAAGAACAATAATTTTCTTCAACACCTACAATAAAGTCTAATAATTATCACTAAAATTATAAACTTATTTTATTTTTAATCTACTCAATTATGGATTTGCTTCGATTAGAAGATGAAGCATTTTGATTGATTTTAAAATTATATAAAAATTATATATACCGACAACATAAAATATGTATATTATCAATCATAATTAAACTTTAACAACAAATATTAATAGCATATAAATAATCATGATTAGTTATTAAAAATATGTAATAAATAATAAGAGATTAGATCAAATCAACTTGAAATCAATAATTTTGAACTGGAATCAAATTTCTCTCAATTGAAAAACAAATTCATTAATTTCTAATTAAGATTATCTCTAAAAATAAAATTTAGCTTTATATCAATTTTATCTACAACTCCAAAGATGAAAGCAACAATATAGAAAATTTCAAAAACTACTTATGTGAAGATCAAATCTAGCAAATTAGGAGTTATTAGAAAATAGTTTCTAATAAATGCGTAAATTTCGAAGTTTTGTATATGTTGTGTGTGAGTTCGTGATTAAGGCTTCGTTTGGAATACCTTTTTTGCCACTTTCTAAAATTTTTATACTAAACAATTACTTTTAAAAGCATTAAGAAAATTGTCCCACACAAAACCCTATTCTTCGTTTGGGAGAGCTTTCTTATAGCTTCTTAAAGCAACTTATTAGTATAAAAAAATTTAGTTCAACAAATTTTTATACTAAAAACTACTTTAAAAAATATATTAAAAAAAAAAACCGTCACAAATGAAACCTAAGAATTTATTTAGGAGGATTGTAAAATGGTAAAACTACTGTAAAGTAATCAGTTTTTTTAACAGTTGTAACAAAAAATTTATTAACACAAAAAATTAATGATCAAACAAAAATTATAATTATAATATAAAAAAATATCATTAAAAAACCTAAATGTGTAGTTTGAGCCATCCTTTTCATAGCTTTGTTTTTTAATAAAATTGGCTCAGCTCTAATGAATCACAATTTCTATTGTGCTTTTAAAAATTTGTATTATGAGAAAGTCTTTTATGATCAAAACTGCTAGTGTGAAGCTGAAATAAAAATTTATAATACATAATAGCTTTTAAAAATTTATTAAAATCTTAGAAATAATTCTACACTCGCTTTTACAAGAAATTACAGCCATCCTAAATGAATCATGAGGCATAGAACTTATCTGAAAGCTCTGTGGTGAGGGCAATAACGGCAACGCCTTTGTCTTCCCTTCACATCTCTGCTGAGCCCTGGCAGACCTACCGGAACAAACTAAACTAAAACAAACTTAAGTTTCAAACACTGAAGCTTTCCTCCTCAAACAATTTCTTAAAATCTTAGTATAGTACATAAGTACATAACTAAGATCTCACTTTGGTCATTGGAGATGCCTGAGCTGGAAACTTTATAAAAAAGTTGCGAAAAGTTTTCTCCCAAACATCAACAGTAGCAAAAAAAATAAGAACAAGAACAACACCTTCCCTCAATTAGTGGAGAGATTATTCTGTGCGGATACCGGACCGCTTGATACTGAGCGCGATACCGAACGGTATCGAGCGTCGGTACCGCTTGGTATCGCGCTCAGTACCAAGCGGTCCGATATCCGCACAGAATAATCTCTCCACTAATTGAGGGAAGGTGCTGTTCTTGTTCTTGTTCTCAATATCGAGCGTCGGTATCGCTCGGTATCGCGCTTGGTACGAGTGCGGTACACTTTTGAAGTGACATGGCACATTTTATTGGTCTCTGGACGAAGTCCGGACTCCCCCGAGAATAATTTGTCCAATTCGTGAACTGATACTAAGAACCCATGAGATGATGACTGAGAGCATCATATGTGCCATAACCAGCAAAAGCAATCCCAACGATAAGTATAAGATAATCTACTGCCCTCTGCCAGAGCTTCAGCTTGGATCCCAAGAGCAAAAGATGGAATGTGGCCGGCAAGACGAAAGCAAGCATGGCGCTAACTGTACTACCCACAAGAGAAATGAAAGCACCAAAACCGGGTATGCAGGAAGCTACGGTGGTGATTATCAGTAGCACAAGCATACGAGCTCCGTGGAGGCCAAGGCGCTCACCGTGGGCATTGCAACACAACTTCTGCGACCATCCGCTTGAAGCCAGCTTCATCTCTATAATCTCGTAAATTGGATGCAGGATGATTGGAAATGTGAATGCTAGAGCTATACAGAGTCCAACCTGTTACAGAGTTCATTTAGTTAGAAAAGTTGCGGAAGGTTTGTTGTCGGGAGAAATAGTCTAAAGATAAACCATTATCTGTTTAAACTAGAACATCCATAGAAGCAATCACATTCATCACAAGCTGGTAATTTTAGATCCAGAGAAATCACATTCGGGAGTCCAAAACATTCTGATTCTAGCAGAAGCAAAATGATGCAGATCTATCTACACCATTCATCCAAATTCACTACATCATCATCTAGAGAGGAAGAGAGAGAGCGAAATATATCTATAATATTAGTTAACCCCACACTCCATTCATCATATAACATAGATTTTGAATGCCAAGATTTGAAAGAACAGCACCTTATATAAAACTTTCAATCTAAGCATTCAAGATTTGTTAAGGTAAAAAAAGTAAGTCTATCATTCTTCTTAACCTCACACACATATATTGGAGAGATAGGACACAATTTTCTTTCACAGTCTATCACAAATTTTGAATTATTAGAATTTGCAGTGACAAAAGGACATATTTTAGCTACTTTAAATCTAAGCATTCAAAATTTATGCAAGTAAATTGATTTATTGTACATGAAACTAAAGGTACGACTGAATATGGACTGAATTCAAATATATTTAAAAGCTAATTATAACATCATACATATCATTACTTTAAATTTGAATATAAAACATGATGCAATTCTAATTTTTAGAATTAGAGTTCAAACACATTTAAAAGCTAATTCTCATATCATAAGACCGTTACTTTCAAATTTGATTATAATATATAATGTAATTTTAAATTTGAATCAACTACTTTAATTCATATTTAATTATTCCATCACGCATGTAAATATTTTAAATAAAAGTCAAATTGAAAATTATAACTATTTAATTTCTAGTAAATAAAGCAAGCCAGTTATTTTAGTTATATATATATATATAAAACACTAGTTTTATTTTTATTTAAATATATTCGATCAAATTTTAATAATTTTAAATCAAGTCAAGGCCTTATATAAAAACAATAACTAAATAAAACAAAATTAACCATAATTAAAAAATAATATTTTAAACTAAGTAAACTCATTATAAATTATTTTAAAAGAATTTTAAGTGAACTAGATTAATTAGAAACATTTCATATAAAACAATTTGTTATATCCTTCATTGCGCACCTATTATGCTTCTACTGCTTTTAATAGGTCATCATTAATACTTAGTGGGCCTCCCTAACTTAAGAGTCGTCGTAAAATTCTTCACTGATCTCCACTAAGGGGGTGAAAGCATAGTATATAGGCCTCAATTTTACAGGTCACTATTATAGCTTAGCAGTCCACTAAGTTAATGAGTCTTTGAAAAGTTGTTCCTATTTTGATATCTGAATAGCGAGATTTTGGAGTAGTTTGGTTTTAATGAATTTTGAACGTTGGTTGGGCCCATTGGATGGTTTTTGGCTAGATAATCATCATAGTGCTTACTGATATATACCACACCAATGAATGATTCAGCTCCTACTTTCAAGATAAAAGTAAGAAGCGTTTTAGCTTAATGGTTCTATGTTTTCGAGATAATAGATTAAGCAACTCCCTTCTACCTTCATCTCTAAATCTCTTTATTTGCAATTAGATTTTACACTTGTATAATTTGCAATCTGATGTGCCTTGGTATTAAAAACAGCAACAAACTCCATGGTATTACACAAAAACATATTTTTAATGATAAAAAATCAAATACGAACAAAGCAAGATATAATGATCCTCTTTCGAAAGGACCTTCTCTCTGAAACCCTAGATGTCGTTAGAATCCTTCATAAAAAGAAAACTACAACACTCTCAAATCAAATTCTTCATCCAAACATAATATAAATCCTACTACTTATAGCAAATAATAAACTAACAAATTCCAAAACAGCCCTCCCCCAATTTCCTCTCAAATCAGCCCCCAAATCAACTATCTTTAATTAGAAAATATCTCCTAATTAATCTCCTTCAATTCAACTCTCAAATCAGCCCCCAAATCTGCCCTCTTTAATTTGAAAATATATCCAAATTAATCTCCTCTAATTCATCCCCTAAATCAGCCCCCAAATCTGTCATTTTTCATTAGGAAACATCTCCTAATTAATCCCCTTCAAATCAGTATGCTTTCCTTAATAATTTCCCTCTCCTATCTGAATTCAAACAAGAGATCCTTCTCTCCTTAATTATTTTCTTAATTCCCTCCTTAATTATCCTCCTAACATAATGAATTATTGCTCTGTTGGGCCCCACAAGACAGGCCGAAATCTCTTTGGATTTGGTTTCAGCTTCCACCCCCTCCACTGTTGGTCTAGCCTCCATTGGCCTGCAGCCGTAACACAATCCTTTGTATTGAGATTGAGTTGCAATTGTAATTATTAGTGATAGTCTAAGTTGCCACCAAAGTCTCAGGAGTCCTTGAAAGAAATTATTCCTACTGCTTGTTTAGTGTTGGCCTAGAGAGTTGCAATTGCATATTTTTCAATATGAATAAAGGAATATCAATTTCTCTACCAGCTTGTTAGCAAATGACTAATGATTTTTCCCACAGCTTGCAAGCGTAGGAGTGATGATCATGAAATCCTACACAAGGAGTGCTTAGGAGTGGATATCCTACACAAGGAGTGCTTAGAAGTGGATATAGGTAGGGTTGGGTTAAACCACATAAAATCTATTACACCCACTTTCTCTGTAACAAGATTTACTTTGCATTGGACTTCACTTGATTAACAAGCTTGTGAAGATTAGATGGGTTTTTTTTTTAACTTTACATTATATCATTTTATAAGATTAGATGATTATGTGATCACATGCTAGCATTGTATTATTACTTTTAAATTACTTTTTCTATCATCATACAATCACTTGGCATTGTATCACTACCATTATCATCATATTTTGTGTAAGTTTATATCTTGCTTCACATGCTTGTATAAAGATTCTCATGTTACCATATTGAAAAAAATTAATCATTTATCTTCATCATTTTTGTATTCCCTCACATTATCTTAATTATTTTCATATGATCATTATACATACTGCGGACATTTGCTTTATGCTGTTTCAATGATTAATATTCTAAATACTTACAACTTGCGTGTTCAACTAGTACCGCTTCACATTGTGCTATCAAGTCATATACACACGCATCTAGCTTACCTTCAGCACAAACACCAGCATACACATTGTGTTCAGTCGTCCAAACAGCGTGAGTTGAAAAACGAAAACGATGACTTATAGTATGGCATTATAGAACTAAATAGTAAATTAAAATCATATTATATGCCTGCATCTGTAAAAGAAGAAATTGTTCAACGAAGAGCATACTAGCTTATTAAATGATTTACAACCCAACGTGTCCACAAGCACTTTTCACATGATCGTGGTGTTTTACAAGCTAAAAGTACTTATTGAGAATTAGAGACTGTTAATTAGTTTAAAATACAAGCTTAATGATTTATTTCAGCTAGCTCCTCTACATGTATCATCCTATTAGTAATGGATGTTGCATATCAAAGAAGTATGTTACAGATTCATTAAGAAAGCATAATGAAATATTTTATGATGTTTTGACATATATCGAAGTAACTTCCGTAATACATTTAGGCATGTCTCTTATGTGTGCACATTCAGGAAATTCATGGTTAACACAAGAATGCAGTTGATCTCAAATTTGTCATCTGATCATCAAAGAACTAAAGAATTTTTCATTTTTAGAAAGTATGGCTAGCGCATCCTTAAAGAAACGTTCATCCTCAAAACATTTGGAATGTGTTTAATAACACTTTAGAATACTTTATCTTGGCATCAGGCGTCAACGTTAACTAATAGCCACTATTTTCAATACACAATATTGAAGAAATCTTTAACGTGTTTGAACACTAGAGCTTGCAGCCAGAAGCCTGTCACGGCTTCTTGAAAAAAAAAAAAAAGGAAAAAACGGAAAAGCTTTTTTCAGAACAGAGAGAAGGAAATTCTTATAATGGCTTGCCTATTACATGCCTAAGAGCTTTATTTAAAGAATAATGTGGCTACATGGAAAGCCACACACTCAAACTAAAGAAACAATCCAAAAAAATCTGGAATTACACCTAACAATCACTCCCTAAATCCAGATTTTACAAAACATCAGACTCAGTCCAACCGTCTCCCAAATCTGCTGCTATTGCCAGTCTAACTTCAGGTTCAACCCCTTGAGACAAATTTGGACAAAACCTCTTAATATGCCCTTCTTTATTACAATGATAGCACTTCCTGTTGGCATTGATCCTACGAGATTCTGATCTTCCTCTAGCGATCAGAATGTTGCCATTCTTGTCTTCTTTCTGTTCAATTTTCTTTGAACTTCTTTGACATTAAACGGATTTAACTCGTCAATGTAAGATTGCTTACATCACAATCTAGTGTCACTATGTTTCATACGTTCTTCGGTAAGTAGCTGAGGAGTAGATCTTGATCTTCTTCGTCAATCTTCCATCCAATTTCTGAGTTAAGATCAATTTATTGAAATCGTCCAAATGTTTCCGGAGTTTTGATTTTCTTCCATTTGGAGTGTTAAATTGTTTCTTCAAACAACAATCTATTTGTAAGAGACTTTTTTTCATATAAATTGTTTCTAGCTTCTCCATAAGTTCAATGCCGTGTCTTCTTCAGCACTCTCTTTAACTTGTCAACAGATAGGAGAAGGATGATACTGTGCGGCTTTCAATTTGGATTTCCTCTCTGCTTGGATCTGTGGTGATTGCAGGATTTTCTTCAAAGATTGCATTCGGAGAGGCCTTGATGAACTAAAAGCGGCCTTCATCTTGATCTACACAGACTGAAATAATTCTCGATACTTGACTTGTGATCTCAAAATTTGCATCAAACATGACGAAGAAATCAAGATTTTAAAAGAAACCTTATGTGCGATTTGCTCCTCAACACTTCCTGATCCTCGGCGTGCTGCTTTGCGGCTTAACGGTTCAAAAAACCGTTAACACAGCCACAGCTCCCCTCAGGCGAAATTCCGAGCAGCCTCCTCCCGTGCTTTCTCCGCGCCCAGCCGCTCCAAGCGCTGGTCCAGCGCCCTTGCACGCCTCACGCCGCCTTCTCGCACCACGTTCACCTCCGGCCCATCTTCGGCCAGCCTCCGTGTGCAACACCACCGTGCGCCTACTGTTCCTGTGAGCACCTCCGGCTCACACAGCCTACACGACTTCTTGCGCGTGCCCTGCTCTTCGCCAACCTCACGCCTCCAGAGATCTCACCTCTACACGAACTATAGCACTTCCGTCGATCCTTGCTTCATCTAGATCTGATCTTCTTGGCTCCAAGAACTCCTTCCTTCCAGGTGTTTCTCAAGTTAGGAGTGTCGTGCGAATGAAGAAGAAGAAAAAATGGAGTTGAGGAAGAAATAGATCGGAAACAATGCAAGAATAGGAAGGTGGCTCTAATACCAAATGAAGAAATCTTTAACGTGTTTGAACACCAGAGCTTGCAGCCAGAAGCCTGTCACGGCTTCTTGAAAGAAAAAAAAAAGGAAAAAACGGAAAAGCTTTTTTCAGAACAGAGAGAAGGAAATTCTAATAATGGCTTGCCTATTACATGCCTAAGAGCTTTATTTAAAGAATAATGTGGCTACATGGAAAGCCACACACTCAAACTAAAGAAACAAAGAAACAATCCAAAAAAATCTGGAATTACACCTAACAAATATTTTCTTCAGAAATTTGTTGGTCTGAAGTGATCTCAAATTTGTTGGTCTGAAGTGTGGATTTTATTTATAGCTAATTGAAAGCTAATAGTTTCATTTAAATGTATTTTTAATGTATGTAAGAAATAATATCTTGTACAGATTTGAAACGAAGGGCATCTACACCTGAAGTGTTTGATCCGTTGAACAAAAACTACTTTAATTTGTAAAATTCATAAATCTCGTATTTTTTTGTTAAATATTAAAAAAAATTAAATCCACCATCTCTCTTTCTCTTTCTCCTCATATTTGTTTTACATGTGTATTATAATTATTTTAGAAAGATTTATATATATAACACTCAAAACTATCATATTTATATATTTAACACCTAAAATTAACAATTTACTCATACAACACTCAATTCTTCAAATATCATAAAAAATAACACACCCCTCACCCTCTACATTAACTTCCCACCATCAAACCCTCATCGTCTTTCACAAGCCATTGGTGAGATCCCATCACCACTTCTCCGCCTCTTCTTCCTCCTTCGCAAGCCCCCTAGTCTCATGGATGCCCTTCCATATCATGACTTGTCTTTTTTTCATGCCAAAGAGCTCCTATCATGACTTGCTTGACTCTTTGTTATCTCAGCGAGAACTCATCACAATTTCCTCTTCTCTTGTCATCCCATCACAATTTCCTTGCTCTTCTACATCATCTAGTGTTTGTGGTGCAACGGAAGATAAGAAATTAAGAGAGATTTTTAAGTGTTATTTATTTAAACCCCGCTACATTTAATTATGAGACATATTAAGCTACTAAAAAATAATTATTACACAACATTATAAACATATATATATATATAAAGCCAAAATTAATAGAAGAAGCCTATATACCTAGTAATTATACATTAAGTTTTCTTTAAAGGATAAATAAATAAATAATTTTTTAATATATTTATTATTATATTAGTCATTAATTACACATTTTCATCATTATCTTATTAATTTTTTAAATTCTAAGTAAAATTGGTGCATATTCAATAAAATTAATATATACTAACAACAAAATATGCATCATTAACAATACTTAACAGTAAATTTTATAAAAAAAATATAATTTAATAAAGGATACTTAGAATGGGGTCTTTTGCAATAAAGAATTCACTTTCAACTAAGTTGAGCATATTAGAAATGAAACTATTAAGATAGAAGTGAGTTTAGATTAAAAAAATGAATTGATAAATTATTCTATTAGAGAGATAAGACGACTAGCACCCATTGAAGGTAAAAAAGAGAAAAGGAGATGTAGGTTGTTTTGGCACATAATGACAATGGAGGACACATCAATATGAAAACTACATTGGATTAATGTTAAAATTAGGAATGAAATGAACGGAAAGCAAATCACATGCCAAACCTAAAGTGAAAAATACTATCACAAATTTGAGTTAACAACTCATGCAATGCTATCATGAATGAATAAATGAGTCATAAGCCATCCGTAATAATTGGAATGAAGCTATTGATAATAATTTCATCTGTAATTCCTGCATAAAAAATCAAACCTGGTAGAACTTTTCAATTAATTGTTACAAAATTTGTTCTTAGAACTGAAAAATTGGGTAGGCAGAGTTTCATATTTTGCGTATTCAATGATAAAGATAGCTGTATGAGTATGTGTAAAGCTTATCAATAATGGCACAAGAGAAACAGCTTAACTATAAGAAATATTTCATTATCTCTTGCTTAAGCTAGAATAAAAATGTACTCATGAAACAGAGGAAAAGGTCTGAGAGTTCAAATGCACCTTGACGGCGATAGCAGACCAGTCGTTGGGGAGGTTAAGTGTAATGATATCCTTGGTCTCGTCACCATAGGCTAAATATCCAAAAATCCCAAAGCTAATATACACTGTTGTTATAGCCATAAATGCCACAAGAAGCACCCAGCGGAACTTTCTCCTATCAGCCATTGATGCTTCCAGCGGCAACGTCATACTGAAGCCATCAAAGCAGAAGACAGCCACTCCCCCTGCAAAAGGTAACCCCCAAGTCCCATTGAATGCACTCCTTTCCCAAGAAAATCGGTTGAACATTTGAATCTCCTCTTTGATAACAATAGCCATCGCAAGGACGTTGCAAGCGTCTGCAAAGGCACTGAATGGGGCAATGGAAGAAAGAGAGCGGATAAAGGAGAGGATTATCTCAAGGGGAAGGAGAAGAAAGAAAATGAAGACAGTGGGTGATACTAATGATTGGTTGGCTTTGGTGAACAAGGAGGAGAGATTCTGGCCAATGAAGACTAAATAGGCAACAGCACTCCCTGCTTGTGAGGTAAGTACAAGTAACTCAGTAAGGTATCGACCTGTTGTTCCAAAGACTTTTGCACCTAGATCCCCATAACTTTGAATGTGCACTTCATCATTAATTTCTTCATCTTCATGTTCTTCTAATCTATCTCTGCATTGGATCTACAAAAACAAGTATTAGGGGAAACGAGGTGATATGCAGGCTGCAATCCTGTTATTTTCAGGATGTAAAACGTAAAGAAGACACATGAAAATTCCTAGAAGAATGCAATAAGTACAGTTACAAGGTTAGCATGTTTCTAAAGACTTGACAAGATAATAACAGTACATACCATGGTAAGGGAGTACTATCATAAAAAGCACTTGCAACAACAATGAATCGCTATACCAGAAACAGGTTCCATTAGATAAAATAAGGAGGCACTATGGATAAGTTCTTTTCTAAATCTTCGGAACACATTGTTTTGGAAGCACAGTTCAAAATGATTTCTTAGGAAAGTCAAAAATTATGCAGATGGAAATATGATTCAGCTTTGACCTGAAAATATGCAGATGATATCAAACACACAATGAAAATATTACTGTTGATTTCACCTCTGCAAAGAATGCAGAATTATTCGGGCTTCACAAAAACACAAGAAAGGTATTTGGCGAGGAAATGCTTGTATGAAATTAATAACATAAATAAATAAATCACCCGTATAATTTCCTCAACAATGGAAATGTTCGTAGAAAAGGCGTAGTATTTTAAACCTGTCAGACAAAAATGAAACAAGGAGGACTGAACGGTTCCCCAAGACAGAAAAGGAAAGCATGAGAAATCGAGAAACGGAAAATTACTGACGAGGAGGAGCATGCAGAAGAAGGTAGAGGCGCCGGCGACAGCAACTCCGACTGTACCGGCTAGCCATCCGGCCATGCGGAAGGCGTAGGGAAGGCCAAGCACACCCGTCCCCACAATCGAAACCACGATGTTGCCCAGCGTCTGCGTCCACGTTGCTCCGCCGGCTATTCTCCGGTGGCTATTCGGCGGCAAGCCATCTAATAGGGGCGCCGTCGACGACGAGCCATCTGTGATCGCCATGAACGAGACAGTGCTCGTCCCGATCCAGCTGAAAAAGGATAGACAGCAACACAATGAGGTTGCAATGTTGCATTATGCTTTGTACTTAAAATTTATGGCCGTCCATTTTTGTGTGGGTTAAGTGACAAGTCAATTAACTATTTGATGGGGCCCATTTTAAACTTTCTTATTGAGAGCTTAGGCTTTTAATTAAAAAAAAATTAATTTAGATTTTAATAAATTAATGTGTATAAATTTATAATTAAATTCACTCAAAATTATTACAAATTTTATTTTAATTATATGAAAAAAAATTATAATTCTCATAAATATAAATAAAAAGAGAGAGTGATACATTAATATCTACTTAAAATACTATAAATATTTATTGTTATATATCGTTTGTCATTCATTATAATTTTTGTCTTTTGAATGAATATTATTTTAATAAATAAAAATTAAATATTCTTATGTTTTAGTTTTTTAACATTTATGGTAAATAAATAAAAATACTTTTAAGGTAAATATTTTTACCATTCTTTATATATGATAATGCAACTATGAATGTATACATGTATATAATTTATGCATGTTAATTGATACTTGTTACGAGAATATGATGATATGAATTTATGGGTATATTGAAGTAGGGGTGTCAAAATATATTTTCGGGTCGGGTTCGAATCCTACTCGAAATTGACATGCATCATGCTGCTCCAAGTTGAACCCAACCCGATAAGGCAAACAGGTCAAATATTCAGATGCGAACCTGGCCCGTTAGGTTTCTAACTCGCAGATGCAAGCGGGGCAAAAGTATGAGCTCAAGCTGTAGGGGAGAGGCAGGCAAGCGCAGGTGCAAGGTTGCATGCACGGAACCGTTGGTGCCTGGCTATGAGCACGAGCACTAAGACAAGGCAGATGAGCGCGGGATGCGGGGCCAAGCACGAGGTTGCTTTATGATGCGGGACAGAAAATTGACCCAAATCTGATCCGAATTTATAATTAGGATTTGAAATCCAAACCCTACTCATTTCCCGAGCTGATTGATCTGAACCCAAAATTTTCAAATCATTTTCGGATCAAATTTCAAATCTGATCAAATATGCCCCCTACATTGACGATATTTATTATTTTGCGGTCGGGCAGGTTTTTAAGCATCAAGTCAAATAATTTGCAGCAGGAGTTTTTGGCTGATCTATTTGTAGCGATTTGGAGCACATGTCTTACATGTGCATTAAGCGCAGGGGAAAGGAAAAAAAAGTGTCCGAAGATTCTGATTTTTATAATAGTTTGTTCGAAATTATAATGTAATATATTTGAATTTGAAATTTGTATTTGATTAATCTGTACGGTTAGTATTGTGGGCATCTTCTCCTAAGCGTCTTGTTTAGTAGAAGGATCAAATGAAAAAAAAAAAAGTATTAATAACTCTTATATTTTGTATTATGTTGATGTCTTGCAGGTGCATTCACTTTTCTCTTCAATGCAGATTGCAGGTACATTATTAGGAAGAGTTTAGGATGGACAATTGTCCACATTGAAATCTTTATTCTTCCTTATAATAATAAGCGTTTTAATTATTTTTCCATCTTTAATAAATATAGTTGCTCAAATTCTAAGAAAAATAAATTAGATTATGCATTTCACAATCATGTTTTGTCCACCCTCAAAAGAGAGATTGGTTCCGCCCCTGCTTCAATGCCATAATAATTCTTATTCGAGTATATATGAAGTATGTATAAGAGGCATTGTGGTTAGATCAATCAAAATAAATTTGAAATGGAGAATGTGAAATACATGTTATTACATCCTCATAGCACTTGAAAGGATTTAATATCATTAGCTTTTGAAAATTAAGTTATTTTCCTACAATAACTTAACAATCACCTTCGGAGCGGCTGCAGTATTTAATAAAGATGATTGTTTAACTTATTGTAGGAAACTTAGATTTTTCAAAAGCTAAAGTGTGTGTGTCTATATATATATATATATAACAATTTTTTTATTAAAACTATCATATATAAATAATTTCACCTTCGGAACGGCTTCAGTATTTTATAAAGATAATTGCTTAACTTATTGTAGGAAACTTAGATTTTTCAAAAGCTAAATTGTGTGTGTCTATATATATATATATATAACAATTTTTTATTAAAGCTATCATATATAAATAATTTTGATTGTAAAAATAAATTTTTATAGCAAAAATTTATAAAAAATGTTGTGAAAAAATAATAAAAAAAGTAACAGTCAAACAAAACTTTAGTTAATATCAGAAAAGCAAAATAATGAGATAGTTATTCCAAACAGGCCCATAATGCATCATTATTGTGTGATATATGAAAGAGGTGAATTTTTGGTTCGTATATCAAAACTAAATTTAAGTTCTAATGAATCACAAAATAGTTCCTTGTGAGAGAGAAGCTAACGCTAAGTCATGCCTGCTTAGCTTTTCACGCACTTTAGACATAGAAAACGCTAAATTATTTAATTCTTCTAAGTTTTTTTTGGCGTTTGCATCTGTCTTAAAGCGATGAGTCTTATATATGTAGTCATGTTGTCCTTCACATCAAACAGCTGGATTACTGGAAAGAAGGCATCTTTCTTTTGTTTGTCTGTGCATTGCAATTCACATTCCATGGCTGAGTTTTCATCCTTTTTAAAGTGATTTTCTTCAATGAAAAGTGATATATTTCTTTAACAATGTAATTTGGTTGATTAGTGATGTCGAGTGGTAGAATATTTGCGGCAGTAGAGAGTGAGAGTTTAATATCTTATTTTTGATGTACCATAATTCTTAAGTTGAAAAATTGAAAACAAAAAACTATATAGTCTAACCCAGATGAAATGATTATAATAATACATATTTAATGGGTTATAAATGATATTATTCTTAATGATTAAGATGTTGATGTAATATAGTAATTGATATATTCTCAAAAAATTATCTTGATCAAGCACGAATCTTGAGGCGAAACTAAACCAGAAACTTCAAAAATTAAATCTGAGAGCTCCTGAACTCCGATTTCAACGAGCTTATAGTCAAACTGAGCGTCTCGGAAATACAAACCGAACGACACCAAATTAAACTCGATCCGAGCCCAAATGAGCCCAAATCAAGCACCCAAAGTGCTGTTGGAAAGCTCATACTGCAATTTGAGTTATCAAACGGTCTTCGATTTTAACGAGCTTATAGTCGAATCGATCGGCTCGACGAGACGAATCCAACGAGCCCAAGATCGCCGAATTCCGAAAGCACTACTGCCTTCAAATATCCAACGAATGGTGCATGATCAAAGGATTCAATATCAGTCGTCCATTCAACCACTCCCTATTCGTCCATGATCTCACGCCTATTTACGAGCTATGTCACTCCATAAAAACTATAAATAGAGCCCTCATTCTTCACAAAGGAAGACTCAAGCAAGAAGAAGAGAAGAAGAAGATAATGAGGAGGAGAATCAGCTCCTCCTCGACCACCGCCGGAGTTCTTCCCGCCGCCCGAACACGCCGGAATTCTGCCGGATTTTCGGGGGACGTCGGAACTCTGCACAACTTTGTAACTGAATTTCAATTCAGGAGAAACTCATTGTAATCTGATCGTTCTAACTTGTGGGACGAATCAGCCTCTTGTACCTCAAATTACACTAGTAGAACTTTTCAACTAGGCGTGGCCCCGTGATTTTTTCCCTTTTTCGGGTTTTCAACGTAAAATACTGGTGTTACTATTTTTCTTCTGTTTGTGCACTGGATATCCGTACAACGCGAAGACGAAAGTATTTTAACTCTATCGCCGCGTATATTCTAGTCCGCAACAGTACTTATGAACTTGAAGGATAAATTTAACGATGAAAGTTAGAGGAACTTTGAGGCGTTACAGTTATCTTCATGAAATTATTTGTGGCATGTTTGGTTTGATGAGAATAGACTAGAGACTAATGATTCAAATATAAATCTTAACGTCACAAGTTAAATTTGGCATCAACTTGTGTATCTCATATAAGATCGATATACGTCTTCGACACAAATGTCGACGTTTTATACTCGAACATCTATAAAAATGCCAATGTTTCGTTGATCTGGTTGAGTTTGGGTGCAACTTCAACCCCATGTAGCTTATTTTAACATTTTTAAGCCCTAGTCATCACTTTTAATTTTTGTGACTCAATTTTGACTATTTTAGATCCTGATAAAGGCTCTACAAATAATCTCCAGCAAATTTTATGACTTTTAAGCAAAAAAATTTAATGATCTTTTCTCCAATCGATATACTAACTTAAGATAATGATAAGATTATGATCAAAGAAATTTTACTTTGTTAATGACTTGAGGGGAGGTTCATATTGACATTCAAGAAGTGTTTATGCATCATAATTTTTTTTTCAAATATATAATTGTGTTGTGAATTTTTTCAATAACTTAATATACATGTTTGAATGACATAGACTTCAACATCATAAAATAAGGGCCGAATGATAAGTCAACATAAAATTCATCTAATTAAGAATGAATGTTGATGCAATTTTTTAGTTAGAAAATTTTTGGAGTTAAATGCAAGACCGTTTGTACTTTGATTTATGTAAACTTATAGTTGAATTAAACATGTTAATGAGATATATATTTTCTAATGGCTCCAAAAGTTTTATGAGTCTAGTCCAAATAACCCCAAATCAAGTAATTCTAATATGGTTGAAAACTTCGTGAAATTAATTGGAATACCAAACAATTTCCTAATTTCAAGTCAATATAATCAAAACAAACAGCTTGATGAGAGGATCTCAGTGAGCACAATGTCACTCAATTTTGAGGTCATTAAGGCATTAAAATGCTAGAAGAATTGTCAGCAATTAAAGGAATCAACATGAATTACTTGATGCAGTTTTTTGGGTTTTTGACTAAACTTACCAAAATACTACTCAAGAAAACTACATATAGATCATATTCATCACATGAATGATGCTTGGACCTTGACTTAAAATTAGAGAGTTATGAGATATCAAGAACTATAAAATTCCCCTGATGTCAATGATGATGAGCACCACCAACTTTTATCATCATCTAACTATGATATCTTGAACAAAGTTTCCCAATTACTAATGCCTCTGATTTTGTCAACCAAAATTGCTAATAACATCAACACACATCATTGTCTATAAAGCTGATACATACCATTGAAATAAACGTCAACTTCTTCCCCCACCAGCAATGTTAACACATATTTGCTTATAAGGCCAATGCACGTCATTGATAGAAATGCCAATGCTCATATCTTTGTCATCCGATGTTGCTAATATTCTTGATGTTGGTCATCACCTATAAGGCTTATGTACGCCTTCAACACGAATATCAATACTTGTTGGCTTCATCATTAGCCATTGCTACCAACGAAGACATGCACCATCGTCTATAAGTCAATGTACGTTAACACTAATGCTGTCACAAGTCATTGAATAATGTCAATGCACATCATCACTAATAAAGTTGATGCACACTGACGACAATATCTCTAACTCCTAATACAATATCATGATTTATACAGGACTTCTTGGTCTTTGTCCACCTCTCCTCAAAGGGGAACAATTGAACATAACACAAATAATCTTTTAAAGTTAACTCCAATGTCTTAGGACTCCTCAAATTTTCAACATAAAATTCATAATCTATAGCTCGTGTTTACTACGTTTCATCAACATCATTTGTGACCTACATGATACATTAGTGAGAACATTTCAACTTTTCTAAGCTTCATGATTTTTTTCCTTTTTGAATTTTAATGTAAGAACTTTAGTATCTTTTACAATTTTTTTATCTATTTCTATTTTGGATATTCATAAAAACCCAAGACATTAAACTCTAACTCTACTGTTGTGATATACTAGCACAAAATGAGTAACATAACTCAAAACTTCCTTTTTTATTTTTGTTCAAGCTATCATTTTCAAAATATAAGCATAGTCATTCAATTATTAGAAGAGAAAGCCACCACTAGAACTTGTAAATTGAGTGCCACCCCCAGTTTAACTAAAAGCAGAAAACAAGTATTACAAACTCTCAATCACACAAAGATAGCAAACATTCATTTATCTTATACATACATACAGCAAATAAGCCAATCAAGTCACGAAACCTTATAAAACAAATTATTTATATTCCACAATCCAAATCAATCTAATTTGATGGAAGAAGCTTAGATCTCATACTCGCACACCTTCCTCTTGCAATGCTATCTATGAGCGATTCTCCAATCCCTTCTCCAATTCCTTCAACAAGGTCCCCTATAATTCCAAATATAAAATGAGACGCAAGCTTTAATGTTGATGTCCCCATCATTTTGCTTTTCTCAGGTGGCTTAATTCCATTCTCATAAAGGCCATTAATCATTTCTTTTGCGCAAATTGCATGAATATAATAGCCACATGAAACTCCACAACAGTACATCAATCCAGACTTCTTTCTATGGCAGATTCTGCACAGAATGCCCACATCACCATTCAGTTGTTGTGAAATAATCATTGGGTGTTGATGGATTGGAAAATTCATCTCCCAATTCATCATAGCACAGCAAGGATGCATTTGAAATCCACATATTGTGCACTTAAATACATATCCTTTTGCTGAATTGCTACATATTTGACATCTTGAAGAAAGAAATCCACCTTGCGGTTAGGAAACAGAGAACTTTATTAGAAATAGATGATCAATACTGCTCTATATATGAAGAAAATTTGAACTGAAACAAAAGGATTCTTCTTTGTTGATTCACTTAAGGTTGTTTGGTTCAATCGTATTATAAAGGTATCAATGTTGTTTTTTAAAATATTGTATATTGGTTCAGTATTTAACTCTTATCATGTTTCCCAACAACAATACAAGCAACCAGTGAGCCCTTAACCTATTAGGCTTCATCTGGGACGGTTTTTTATTGCTTATATAAACTTAATTTTTTTGTACTAATTTTTTTTTTAGAAATCAGTAAGAAAACGACTTTCTTTTTGCTTCTTAAAGCAGCTTTCCAAACAAAAAAAAAATAATAATTTTGTACTAAAAAGCTGCTTTAAGAAGCAGAAAAAAATTTGTCCCAAATGAAGCCTTAGTAATCATATAACTAGTATTTTCTAATAAATATTAGCATACATAGAAAAGTCTAGTGAATCAAGGCTCCATAATGGCATAAAAAATCATGCATGAATATAGGTATTAGCAAAGTAAGACAAAAAACTTGCTTAAAGATGACATTTGCTAATTTTATAATAATACATACACAAATCAGTAAATCAAAAGCTATCTGAATGCAATAAAAATACACGTCTGAGTCTAAATGTTACCTGATTTGGTGTAAAAAACAAGCTGGTGATTATAGTGGAATGGATGATTAATGAGAGAAGCAGGAGCAAAGGCACAGAAATCATGAAGCTCAAAATCACATATTTGGCATTTCATCCTCTTCCCCGCACCAAACTCTTTGCAACCCATGCAGGTAAAGAGGTAGGGCAAATTCATCAGAACCAGAGGGTGATGTGGATGGCTAAAATGTAATATAACTTCCTCCTGGTTTGGTTTCGGAATGGCTTGAAGCTCCATTAATGGAGATTTGTATGAAAGAGGCTTTTCTGTTCTCTTGCTTCCTCTCATTTTGATTTGTTGCATGCAACAAGCATATTTATATCCCATGTTAGCCTTATAGAGGAAGTTAGTAGAAGTGATTATTGAACCAATTTATCAACAGCTGGATATAGATTCTTCCAAAAGCCTGTGGTAATACTTTAAGGCATGTGATTGTGGGTTATAAGATTCATTTCTTAGCTTAATTTGATTGTTTTTGTAATAACAGAAGAGCTTTTTGTCTTCTGTTACTGTTTTCTTTAAGAAAGTAAAACAACTGGAGCTGCCTTTTAGGCTATCCTTAAATTATTAGTTTATATCTTTTTATATGATTAGGATTTTAGTTTGGCAAATACATAGAGGGATTATAGAATGCTTGATTAGAAAAATACAGCAAGGGCCTATTTGCTTTTTTGTAGATTGCAAAAAATATTTTTGGAAGTTGAGATTTTGTTTTTGATTATTCTGAATATGACAATAAAATTCTCATTTTTAGAAAATTCAAGGTATTTAGAGTTTCCAACATTAATATTGATTTCGAATTATATCCAACAAATGATTGCAAATCTAACCTCTAATAGGGGGAAAAAAAAAAAACTCTTATAGGAAATATCACCAGTAAAGCCTAAGCTTTAAGTGCCAAAGTGATTTAAAATGTCCAGAAAATCATCTTGATGCTCACTAGCTTTCTTTTCATTTCTTGTTGGCTTATGTTCCGCCTATGAGTTGGAAAGCTTACGCATTTTATTTTCGCGGTGAAGTAAAATGGATTCGCTTTTCTCATTTGGCTTTATAATATTGCTTTTTCCTTTACATTAAAGTTTGATTGATGCATAGCTGTTCTTGTTTGGCTTCTTTGAATCTGTCAAAACTTGTTGACATAAGTGTCACACCCCGGGTCCGGAAGGCGGTACACCTGGCAACACGGGATACGATGAAGGGATGGGAAAACATATTTTATATTTACAAAGAGAAGTATATATATACAAAAGATACAACAAGATACATATATGCATCAGAGTAAATAGAGGAAGTGACAGTGAACAACTAGATCATTAATAGAAGTTCAAATAACCAATACATCCAAATAATAATAGTTCTGATACAAACCATCATGAATATAAATATAACAAAAGCATGAAAGAAAATAACTCAACCCTCAGAAAATATAAACATAATAAACAACTGCAAAAATAATAAATATCCAAAAACAGTCTATTGATGGTAATCATGCTCATGAGGTGGCGATCCATCAAACACACCTGAAGGACATGTTGAAAAAGACATTGGGTCAGTTTGATGAATTAAACTTAACAAGTAATTACTATCTATTATAGCATAAATGACAAAAGAATAAGGAATGCAATATGGACAACCAAATGGTAGAAGTAACAACTTAAAGTCATCAAAACAAAATAGTACCGATGCATGCCATGTTTCCTACAATAGAAATCTAATATGCTGGTGACATTAATGTATATGAAAAAATCACTATCAATGCAATTATTTTAATCCCGGAAAATGCAATCACACTAGGTATTATCATAGCTCAAAATGACCTACAGTCATTTATTATTTGCAATTCACATTGGCTTATATTTTCTTATAATTAAACATATATATCGCTATTGCGGTTTATCATAGACCCATCCCTGGAAGCTTGGCACCAACTGAAGGAAATCCAATGATTTCCTGTAGAGCCGTCACTCTTGGGGCCCGTCAACCATAGCTGGCAAAAAATTAATAGGATTATACCGACATATACATAATCACACAGTGCAAGAGTTGTTAATAATCAACGGGGGATTATGTTTATAATTTATATAATCAACATGATTTATAAAAGGAATATCATATACTGCGATAGATAAAACTAATGTAATTTGACAATATGATATTTATTGCATTCAATCAAGAGCATGCCTAAAAATACAAAATTAGTTTATATAACAATAAACCAAGAATATTATATTATGAAGCTTCTAAGTAATTATGAGCAAATATGTATAGTAACATGAATCCCCAATGACATAACTGGCCACTTAACAACAAAAGATCTAGCAATATAACCAAGAAAAATGCCCCTAACTAAGAAAGATAAGTTTATCCTATAAAAAAATAATAGGTACTCACAGTGGTTCCACAAACTCTGACCTGGAAAGCGGCTTGTTTGACTCCACAAAGCTACAATCTTACAAATAACAAAACCAAAATAACATTAAGCTCTTTCATCGAGGCATATGTAAGAATATCCCAATCATCCCAGCCACGCCATAAACACCAAAATAATCACCAAATAAAATGATTAATTCTATGACCTAACAAAACACTCTATGGAGACCAAACTTAAAAGAAGCCCCACAACAAAACTTGGATTAATGATATTTCTAACACATGCAAGATAATATAGATTTTTAATTTATTCAAATATTATCTTGAATAAGATTTCTTTCCCTAAGTCAAAAAAATCATCGCAATGATATTTCGACAAAATACAAATCATGTAACATAAACCTTATAAAAGATAACATCCGCCATACACCTCGTCAATGAAGAAAAATGAAGAAAGGAGAGGGTAAAAAGAGAGTTTGAACTCACTATTGAAGGAAAAACTTGTTATAGGCTGCTTATGCGAGCAAGAAGTGAAGAGGGAGTGGAAAGGAAGGATTTGGCGGCTGTTGTAGGAGAGAAGAAAGGAGTATTCGCTGTTCTAGTTTCCTTATTAGGTTCAAACAACATGAGAAGGGCGTAATAGGCAAGAGAATCCAATCGATTAGGGAAAGAATCGAGAAATCCCTGCGATTGGAGGAGAGACAGTGGGTGAGGCACAAAAGGCAAGCTTGGCTTCGGTTCAATGCGGACAAGAAGGGTGGTCGGATGGCTGGCTTACGCGTGCGGGAGAAATCCCGGACCAGTTTGGTTGTCCAGTTTTGGTTATAACAATAAGCAATCCAACATGAAATATGGTGCCAGCAGAGAGATTAAGGCTTTGTTTGTTTGAGTGTTTTTTTTTTGCCTTTTTCGTTTTTGGAAACGGAGGAATTTTTTTTTTTGTTGTTTGGTTCGTCAAATCACGTTCCCAATAACTCCTTTTTTTCGTTTTTCTGAAGTTTTGAAAAAGCTTTTTATATATACTTCTCCGTTATAAAACTTTATTTTCTGAACTAATGTTTTTTAAAACTGTCTTTTACAAAAGCACCAAAAAAACAAACGAAGCCTAAGATGATGACACTAAATACTTAAAATTGGATTTCTTTGAACTTTGGGTTTGATTTTGCTAGAATTTTATCGAAATTGGATTAAATTTTCACCTTTTTTACGACTTATTTCAGTGGTTTTAATATGAGATTAAGCCAAAATATTTAAAATCATTTATCAAAAACTTATAAAACACATCATAATACATTATATTTATGATTTTAAAATAAAAACATACATTTAAAAAACTCTTTAAAACCAATTTATTTGAATGATTTTATTTTTATTCTGCTAATGAAAGTTTCTACAAATCTTTTATCAAGAACATGCTAAGTACATCTTAAATATGCAAGAAGGATGAATTAACCTTCATTATTGTATTGAGATTATTTCTCTATTTTTTACCTGTCACATTATGTATTATTTCCTTAAGCCGCATCAGAGGTAGGGAGTCACGTGTACACCTTTCAGCCTAGCTTACATAACTTTATTAATATGTACTAGTAACATTATGTATTATTTCTCTATTTTTTAGGTAAAGCATTTCATGTAGCTCTTTTGATCTTGTAAATTAAAGGTTAAGGCACATATTTTAGGACTTCATGCTATTTTTATTGTTCACAAAGATCACTTAGTCTCTTTCTCTCCGTATTTATTGATTTCCTCATTCTATCTCATGCTCCAGCTTACTAAATCTTTAATAGGGTTATGCCACCTACTAATAAAATTGTGTCAAAAATCCTCTAAAGTGCAGTGAGTTTGAATTTATGTTAGTGACCAGAAGATATGAATTACACAAAGAAATAAAACCAATAGTCATAGATGAACATGGAGAACTAGAACTTCACATCACATTGCGATTTCAAGGAAATAGAAGAAAAAATAACTAAGATGCATTGGGGGAGTTCAACGAAATGTCCCGAGAGAAAAGCACCCCTGAAGGATCCTCTAATTAGGTAGATTACCATAAATGGCATGATTCTAAAGCACCAACTTCAACGCTTGTTACTAACCATAGCCATAATTACTTCAATATTGAGGAATACACCCCTTTCACCCAAGCAAGGAGGAGAGATTCGGAGGCGACCAATGCAATTTTCAATGAGATTACATATGTGAAGCCTCCTGCCAATTTTAATATGCGCCACCTGAAATCATACTGGCTTGCCAACCATGTTTGTAATTGAGTCGATAATATAATTGACGGGCGTCAACAATGCCTTAAATTTTCAATTGCTTTCAGCACCTTCAAAGAGTCTACCCCTATGTGGTTTTCCTATATGCTAGTGGGCATCATCACATCCTTCTATGAGTTAAAGGGGATGTTCATCAAACAAATTGCGAATGCCTAAAGGCCACTGTGAGTTTACAAGCTCTTTTAAAGAAGAGACAAGTCAAACGAGTTGTTGAGACCCTTCATCGCTAGGTTTCAGAGTGAAATGTTGGAAGTCAAAGTATTAAAGTCGACAATCACCCAAACTGAATTGACTCCAAGAATGCGGGAAGGACAATTTAAATATTTTCTTGGACTATAGTAGCTATGAACATTGATCGAGTTGTTGGAACTCACCAATAGTCACATAAAATGTTGAATAACACAACAACATGATTGAACCTTCCCCGATCAATCAACCCAATATACTAGGAATGCATGATTGACCCCAAAATGACACACATAATAAGAGTCACCCGGGGGCCCATAGGGTCGAAAGATAAAAACACGAGCAATAAGACTAACGCCATCATGGTTGTTGGTTGCAAGACTCCTAAGAATTGAAATAATGGAGAAGGTGTCACAACCAAACCCGATATAGTCCACTGATGCATGTCACACTGTGTTGGATTGTTACAGAACATAAGAGATCAAAATATTTTATTTGTAGAAATATCATAATTCTTTTTAGATAATAGATACCATAGCCTCTAATTTTTTTACTATACATAAATTTACTCATCCACAAAAACTAATTTCTTTCCAATTAAATAATGTATATATTTATCTTATGTTGTATTTAAAGCTTTACAAAATTTCAAAATTTTCTTAGCATATACCCCCACTGAGTGAAAAACTATAATTTGAATCCATGCCTTGATGTTATTCAACTATGGGTGTTAAGTCAATTTGTGAGCCGGTTGAGCTTGGTTTAATAAATTGCTCATGAGCATAACTCGATGGATGAGCTAACGAGCTAAACTTGAGGTAGTCTCGACTTAAATCATTAGCTTGAGAGTCATATCGTTTAAAAAATATTAATATAAAATATAATTGATACGGCATCGCAAAATTATCTTGATCAGGCACGAATCTCGAGGCAAAACCTAGTTGGAAACTTCAAAAGATAATTTCGGAAGATGTTTATGCATAAGTTTATTAGAAATAATCAACAATTATCTCATTTATTTATATCAACCGAATATTTATTATTTATTTTATAAATTCACAATTTTTTAGTAATAATTATCGTAATCATAATTATTTTTTTGATATTAATGATCTGACTCGCGAGCTGACTCAAACTCTTAAGATTAAGATTGAGCATGCGCTCAGTTGATTAATAAAGCCCAAATTTAGATTGATATGAGCTTGACTCGACCTATTTACAACCCTATTTTCAACTAACCCACTAATTCTGAGTCCGATCAGAATTCACTTGGTTTAAACTGGGCCGGCTCAAATAGAACTGAGCCGGTCCATTCGCGAGCGCTGGTTTCAGTTTCCCGCCCACGCACAAGAAGGACAAAATTAAAGTAGCACGCACTCACTCTCTCTTTCTCTCCCTTCACTCCGAGCTGCGAAAAAAAGGACTTGCGGTTGAATCGGCAAAGCTGAGGTCTTTGTCCTAGACGCGCCACCATGAACAACTACCATGTATACGAGGCCATCGGCCGTGGCAAGCACTCCGTGAGCCTCTCCCTCCTCTCTTCCACCTCTACCTCGATCTCGTATTGTGTTCTAGGGTTTCTCTGTGGCCCAACTAACTGATCCCTTCTTAATTTTAATTTTATCATTATAAGACTGTTTACAAGGGAAGGATGAAGAAGTCGATCGAGTATTATGCCATCAAGAGCGTCGACAAATCCCAGAGGTCGAAGATCCTCCATGAAGTGAGCACATTTTCTTATTGCTACTTGATATAGGTTTTATTTATTTATTTTTTTTTCTGTTTCAACCTTTCAATAGAATTATGCGGCGAGAGAATGCAGTATAAATCGCTAATACGGAGTAGGCAGAGTTATTTATTATGCTATTTGTGCGAAGCTTCAATACTGAACTTTTTTCGTCAACATGTTGGTTGAGACTTGAGAATGCATCACGCATTAAGGAAATTTAGTTGGCAGCGAGCTTATCTGTGAAAAGCGTTATCCTGATTACGTTTTTGTGACATTATCTATTTTTCTATGCTTTCTGTATTACAGGTGAAGATGCTTCATGGCTTGTACCATCCAAATATTTTAAAATTCTATTCTTGGTGAGAATTAAGCAAAACTGAGAGTTCCCAGCCGTTGGCTGTACTGTATTGTGACCTATGGATTAAGTCTTTTACATGATGTTTTTCTATGGATTTGCTTCAGGTATGAAAGCTCGGCTCACCTTTGGCTGATACTTGAATACTGCGTTGGTAGAGACCTAATGAGTTTACTGAAGGAGGTATGCGGCTGATGTTAATTGTTCTGCCTGATTTCAGAATTTTTTAAAATTGCCTGCCAATTGTCCTGCTTTCAATTTTTAATCATTGCATTCTTTTGAAACTGAGCTAATGGAGGTACATTTTATTGTTTGAGGATCAAATGTTTCTCTGTTTTGGGAATGTGCATAAACAAAGGGAATATTTTTTAAATTTTTTTGGGAACAAGGTTGTTTGAGATATGGGCATGGAGAAATGATTTGACTAGAAGTTGAGTCGGACTTTTGAGCCCAAGGATCTTTGTTGGTGACATGTGTATTACTTCCCCAATATTATATTATGACTCGTTTTGAAAGAAAAAGAGCCTTTATGGCACCAAGTACGTTGCCTTTCTTTCTTTCAACCACTTTATTTTGTTAGGGTGTATACACATAATGCGATTCATGTATTGTTTAATTTGTTTGGCAGTATGAGATGATAGAATAGTTACAATAGTTTTTAGTATTATCGAATTTGATTCTTTTGTTTAGATACTAAATTGATTTTACTAACTCTAACTCATATAGTTTTGACTTTTAGAAAAAAAGATCAATGAGACACTGGTGCAATCATCGATAAAGGACACCATTAAATTTTAGAGATGTTAGGTGCAGAGGATAGTTCCCATATATCACTATTAATAACAAAAATGAATAATGATTCTTTTACCACTAAAAAATTGATATGCTTGTGTTTTGTTAGTTTACAAACATCATAATTAAATTTCTTGATTTAAATTTATTTGAATAATGAATGAAACATGATTTTGAGAAAACAAATGATGGGTGGACGAGGCATAGGCATTGAAACCATATTTTGTTTTTATTGAATTTAAGGGTTTTTGAGAGGAGATGATATTGAAAATTTTATAGAGTTCTCTTGATCATTGATTTCTCATGTTAGTTGAGACCTTTTTTTTAGCAAACCTAATTGCCCTCATGCCTTATTTTTGAAAGACGCAATATGATGGATAAACCACAACATTATACTTAGATTCTTTTGTTAGCTTTTGAATGAATAATTAGGTGGAAAATAGCTTAGTATGTAGAGGATATTCTGGAGTTCGAGGGATTTGTGTTAGAATATCTCTTTGACTGGCCATAGTGGTCAATGATCTGTCTACCATAGTTATTTTTTTGTTGCTATGATAATAGGTATATGAAAAAGGATTCATGTAGCCGACCCCACGTAGTGGGATAAAGGCTTGATGTTGTTGTTGTTGTTGTTGTATGATAATAGGTATATTAAATAAATTTATGAGAGAAGTTGGTCATCTTATCTGTAGCTCTTGAAGTAATGATCAAATAGCTTGAAGCAGATATCTCTGAGGATTTAAATTAAAGTTATGAGAAGACTGGAAGAGGACAGAATACTTGAGAATGTTAGAGTACAAGTACTAATTGTAGACATTTCTTAGGTGCTCTTAACAAGTTTTTTTTTCCTTGCATTACAAATGACTCAATTTTATACTTCCCTTCAAGAACTTGCGAACTAAGCACAATTACTTTAGATAATTTTTTCTATTTAATTGATATGTTTAATGAATGTTATGCAACTCTCATGTTTGATTTAGATTGTATCCCTTAATTCTGAGAGAGCCTGAGATATGTGCGTATTCTTATTGTTGTCCATGAAAAGAAAAACTATAATCTTGTTCATAGGAAAAGAATAGGAAAAGAAAAAAATGTCGCAATCCAACGATGAAGAGTACAACAACAGGAATAATTTGTAACAATACAATGATGATTGTTGTAGGAATGGGAAATATTTGTGGCAATGCAACGATGAAAGTTGCATTTCTAGAAAAAAGGACGGTGAAAAAGAGAGTGCTATAATAAAGTTTGCAATATTATGATGTAGTGATGGTGGTGGAAACAATGAATATGTAAGGCGGAGAACAAGCTTAGGGCTCTGATATAATGGCAATAGTTGGAGAGAATTGATTTGATGTCTTTTATTTCAACATGCATAAAATTTATACAATAATAAGAAAGCATCTAATATGAAAAAAAATATGAGATAATGGCATAAAATTAGTTACAAAATAATCATAATAGTTCACGAGTTGATGAGTAAATAATATGGATGCCACAGATCAATAAGGTGATAATGGAAGAGGAAGGAAAGACTACGGAGGTTTTGATGAGCATGGGTCCTTGTTGTAGGAAATTATGGCCGTATTACACAAAAAAAGTTGTTTGATATATATATACATGCAACAAAATGAATACATTTACAAGGAGAAGGAGAGAAGAGAGGGAAAGGATCCATTTTTATTGAAAGAGACATCATTTTTTCTTAGTGATTTGGTATGAAGATATTGACCATAATGATTTAAAAGTCTACATTGTTGATTTTTGTTTAGCATATAAGAAAAAAATTGGAATTAAAATTTAAAGTCATCACAATTTAGGTCTTATTTGGGATTTTTGCTTTTAAAAGCTACTTTCATTGCCTCAGTTTCAAAAAATGCTTTTCCAATAACAACTTTTTAAAGGCAAAAATTTAAAATAGCGGTGAAAAAGCTATCTTCCAAACACACATGATTTTTTTATTAATTGCTTTTTTTACAACGAAAGCAGTCAAAAAACTGTTCTAAATAAAGCCTTAATTACCTTAGATGTTTTATACTTTTAAAGATGCCAAAATATCTTATTTTATTTTTTTTTTGAAAATTAAATTCATTGGCCATATTCCTTGAAAGTATTGGCCATATTCCATATGCAAGTTTAAGCATGCACATAAAAATTCATCAATTTTGACTAAATTATTTATTGCAAAGTATAAAACAATGCCTTATATTATTTGGTAAATGAATTAATGAAAAATTTGAAGAGTTGATCCTATTGTATAATGAAGTAAGTTTTGGTTCTTAATTAGGGATGAGCGGAATGTTCTGGTACCAATTGCTTGTGGGAAAGATTGTTTTTGGTGCTAGTTTGATGATAAACCCTTGTTTATTATCTCTTTCTTCTTCCTTTTTTAAATTCCTCGATTTCTCCCTGGGATTTTGTATTTAACTGAGAATTGAATTAAGGCTGTAGGGTGAGAAGCGTAAATGGTGCATGTAGGAAGGTCTTGCTTAATGCTGGAAACCAAGAGAAGTTATATGATAGTTTAAGGAATCTTATTTAGAGATAGAACTTTTCTGCAGGTAGTCTTGAAATTGATGCATGATGAGGATTTTTTTCTGTTACTTTTGAATTCTGTACAAAATAAGAGGATAGCCATTGTGGGGGTTGGGGATTGAGAAGTTAGGAGAAAATTCTTTATTTAATTTTTCTATTTATAAAAATATGGTTACATTTGAAATCAAACTAATCCAAATATTCTTATGTAGGTAAATCCTGAAGATTCTTTTATTTAATTTATAATAAAGGAAATATTAAAATTATATACATATATTGAAATAAAAATCCAAAAATATTTGAAAATACTATAATAATCTTGGTGTTTATCTCATGTTAACTCTCCCGGAGTAGATAGAACACTTATCGTGAAGTCATGTGTTGGAAGTTTAGTTTCTACGAAGAAGATATTTTGGAATTGGTTTATGAGCATGTCTTGGATTTTAAGCTGGTTTAGTTTGTTAATAGTTGGCAGGGTATGGATGTTTCAATTTAATATGCAACCATGCATCATAAAGCAAGCTTAAATTTGAACCATGGATGAAGATCCTATAGTCAAATGATAGTTCTAGAAGTGATAGTAAGAATTCAATCTACATTTCTTAGGAGGTAGCATATTATTGTGTTGAAATTCAAGGAATAACCTCTATATTTGGATGATGGTCTTATATGAATACATGGATGTATAGATAAATGTATTTCTTCATCTCAATAATTATGATGAGTAGATCTCTCAATCTTAGTAATAGGTTCATACATTATTGCAATGTAGACTTAGGAATATGCCAACACTACCTTAGAGCCATGCTCAGTTAGGGGGTGATTATTGATGATTGACCATCTTCATCATGTTCATTTGCATAATTGAGATCATCATAATAGTTTTCCTCATTAACTAAATTAACATTTCGATTAAGTTTTTAAATTGTTGGTGGTGATGCAGATGCTTGAACTTTTTGAATTGATTTAAGGTTTGTGATCCTTTGGAGTATAAGAAAGAAGCGTATGATATGTTAAGTAATCATATGTAGATCCTTTGAATTGTGATTTAGAGAAAGCATACGATAAAGTTCCAAGACAAGTGTTATGGAGAGTTCTAGAAAGGAAAGGAGTATTTTCTTGCTTATATTCAATTCATTACGATATGTATGCAGGAGCTGTTACTTGTGTTCGAATACAAGGTGGTTGGACCAAGTATTTTTTTTCCTTTTTCAGTTGGATTACTTCAAGGATCAGTCTTAAGCCCCTTTTTTTGCTTTAGTCATGAGGTTGTACCTTGGTGTATGCTTTTTGTTGATGATATTCTTCTTATTGATGAGACTAGAGAGGGATTTGAAGGTAAACTTGAATTATGGAGGTCAATCTTAGAGTCTAAAGGTTTTTGATTGAGTATATATAAAACCAAAAATATGGAATGCAATTTTAATAGTAATAGATCTAGTGAGGGTATTTTGACTTTGGGCAATCAAGTCATTGATAAGCGTGCATGTTTTAGATATCTTGGGCCTATTGTTTAGAGTATTGGTGAAATAGATGAGGAAATTATTTGTAGAATTCAAGTTGGATGGTTGAAGTGGAGGAAAGCATCGGGCTTGTTGTGTGATTAGAAAAGTTCCCCTCACATTTAAGGGAAAATTCTAGAAGATGGTGGTGAGACTTGCAATGATTTATGATGCAGAATGTTGGCCATTAAAGGAGAAGCATAATATTATTGTTAAGTACTTAAGTGTTGCAGAGATGAGCATGCTTAGCTGGATGAGTGACTTTACTCTTAGAGATAGGATACGAAATGAGCATATACGTGAAAAAGTTTGAGTTGCTCCAATGGAAGATAAGATTAGTGAGAGTTGCCTTTA